CGTGTAGATACGTGCCCGTCTTAATCAAACTTTGACCTTGGTAGCTCGATCTGGTACTCAACTCAGAGGAGGGTGGTGACTTATCCGATTTCATCATGAACGGGGAATGGTACCTCATCGGTGAGTTTCACAGAACCTCAAGTTTATGACTTGTCAAGCCAATCAGAATCTGTATTGGCTCGTGTGTGTGTGTGTGTGTGAGTGTGTGAGTGTGTCTGTATGGGTGTGCGCGCATTTGCGGATGAACGTGTCTTCGGATTAAAAGTAGAATCTCGAATCGACTCGATACGCGTCGATAAATAAGTTGTGCGATACTAGTCCGAAAATAGAACATTCACAATCACGCGAGTAAGATTGAGAATAGTCTGCGAAGATATCTACACGCATGTGGACGAATATGAATTTTTATCGGACTATCATCGATTTTCGCTCAATATTTAATCGTTTGACGTATTAGTGATATATATAAAATGTCAGTGTGATTTTTTTTCACACGTTCGAGTATGACATCTTGTCTCTCGCCAACAGTCGCTTGATTGAAAAGGATCAGACTTTTAAAGCAATATTTTGCCAATACGTCCTGTTTCGATGAAAATGACGATCGAGCAATTTATTTCGGAAAAAAACAGATGATTAGAGATCCGAAGAAGAGAAGAAGAAAATCAGTGCTCGATGTAATTTGGATTCTCTCTTGCTGTTTCGCGTCGAGATTTAATCATCGCTCGTTCCCGGTATGCATGCACAATGGTAATGCGCCTACGTTAATCCATCGCAATTTGCGAATCTGTTTGTACAGCTTGTACGTTATGGAAGCACAGAATGGGAACAGAAGGACGAATAAAATATATCGCGAAGCTATTATAGAATTTAACGATTCTATTTTCTACGGTCGCAGTAATTACGCGGCTATATTTTTAACAGCAAGATGTAATTTTTTGTCCGCGTTTCATTCTTACAGTGCAGTATACACAATCATATGGCTTAATTATGTACGTTCAATAAGATCGAATTGTTGCTTCCACGAAGCGAATCTTTGCTTGCGGACTATTATTCACAATGAACGAAAAGTTTACTCTCCGTTTCTTATTCCCTTAGCTTTGCATTGCAACTCGAAACATCGACGTGATACAGGAATATAAATATACAATCCGAGTTACGATCTGCTTTTTTATGCATTTTAGTACATTACATAATTCACGAATGTAACTGTATTTACATATTTTGACTATATTGCATCTATCAACTCCTTTGTTACTTATCAAAATTGAATAACTTTGTTTCTTATTCTAAATTCTTTTACACATTTATATGGCAAAAATATATTCAAACTTATTTTGTATTATCTCTTCGTTCATCTCTGCCAGAAAATGACAGTTTATGTAAAAAATTACGAACGTAGAGTATATCGCGAAAGAAAATCTGTCACCCTAATTCGTTCCAGCTTCTCAGCTGGATCCTGAGACGCAAATTTCACCGGTGATACGAAACAGCGTCATCGATGTGTGAAGGAATGCTGATGGAAGTCGTTAAGAAACCGCATCCCCGATATTTCGCCGATGCTACTCGCAGATGCTGCATCCCGGAGCTCTTCGTTTCGCGTGAAATCGCGATCGATATCGTAGGGTCGAATAGAAACCGAAAGATTTTATAGGTCCTCCGTGTCTCTTGTGATGCCGCAATGGGTATGACTTTATGACATTCCCTCTTCGCGGTGGCAATGTGACGCTCTTTCGCCGTGCTTCTCTTTTCCTCTTCTCCCCGCGTCTCACTTATTGGCGTTCTTTTACGACTACATTCCTCGAGCTATCAAAAAGTACTATTTTTGCGGTTCTCTCGAAGGAAACTGACGTGTCAACGAATCAAAGTTGCAACGGGGATGAAATTTGCGATAGTCTCGATCTAGCGCTTTGAAAAAAATTCTGAAAATACACGTATATCCGAGGGAAAAATTCTCCTGGCAAGAAAAGAGCGCATTCTTCCGAAACAATATTTCAAAAGAGACAGGTAAAAATCTTATGTAAGAATGTAAGAGAAACACAATGTCGTGCCGCATAAAATGAAAGAGCCTGCGTTCACATATACGCATATATATATGTACTTTTGTTTCAATAAAATTCATTGGACATGGAGTAGTTTTTTCAATATAAAGCGAAGGCGGAATTGAATAAAGATTTAGTAGTGAAACTGATCAACATCAAGCAGCGACTGTTTTAAGAGATGGCAAAATATGTTCGATTGTGATACCAACAAATAAAATACAAAAACGCCAGCTCGGTGCCTTCGATCTATTGCGACCGACAAAACGACATACTCGATGTTCCCGCATGTGATGGTGAACATATGTCTATGTCGACGTATCGACTCAGCGTGTGCAATTTAGAATGTCGCCTCTAAAGTGTTGCTGTATTTGCCGAGACACGTTAATTATCCGGAGCCGGATGCGTCGAGCGCACGGTCGCACGTCGAAATACAAAGAAAAAGCGTTCTGAGAATGGAGCCAGCAACAAGTGACTGTCCGATATCGCGACGTTCGAGATCGATTCGAGAGTCCGTACGATCGGAAAGCTATATCGCGAAACCCTCCGTCCTCAAAAGTATCGAACGGTCGTTTTTCGCCGAGTCGCTTCTCACCATTCTTTGGCGGCGAGAGCGCGCCAGCAGGTGCATCGTATTTAAAGACCACGAAGAGGACAAGTTCTGTTTTATCGCGAGGCGCATATATGTCCTCGCCGTTCGTTCGCCGGTAACTTAACTTGTTGCAAAAATAGAATCGCAGGGAACATTTCGCAACTCAGCGAGATCTTCCTTATATACGAATCTTGTGCCGTAATCTTAAGACGGTTTTTAGAAACGAGATCGCGCAAGAAAAAAAAAACTACGATAAAATCGGCGCGACTCGCGCGAATCTTTGCTCACAACTCGATGGCATCTACGCGTCTACGTAGCATGAAACGTAACGATAAAACAGATGGAGACATGATAAATAGACCATACATTATATCTTGGGATTTTATTCCCCTCAAGATATAGCACGGATATAGTAGCAAGAAAAGTAGAGAAGATGAAGGACAGTAATAATAAAAACATAGTCCGCGATAGATAGAGATACTGATAAAGATGGGTAGATAAGCAGGCGCTTTTTATGTTCCCCAATAGGAACACATTGTCTCTGTAAGAATAGTAGGGTCAAAATATATAGCGAGTAACGACGAAAGAAAAAGTGAGAGTGAAGAAACAAAATTATCCGTAATCGAGAACGCAATCGATGCGATTATCCGGGCCGCGTAAAATATCGATATCATTTTTTTTTTTTTAACAGGCAGACATGTCGGCGTGTATATCGGTTCTGGCACTTTTTCCAGGTATGCCGGGGAAGAAGAACACGATAATGTATCAGTGTTGCCCGGAACCGTACGTCGACATCACGTTCACGATACAGATACGCAGGAGGACCCTCTACTACTTTTTCAACCTGATCGTGCCCTGCGTGCTGATATCGAGTATGGCCCTACTGGGTTTCACCCTGCCGCCCGATTCCGGCGAGAAGCTCACCCTAGGTAACGTAACTCGTAGCATGCCTGCCTGCACACCAGCCAGACACACCTCCTCCTTTCTTTTCGATTGGTTCGTTTGGGATTGTTACTGTTTACACGATATGTAATATATATACGCGATAGAGTCAATTTTTAGAATAGAAAGTTTTACAGATGCATAGAGTTTTAAGACACGCGTGATGATTCTCTAACTTGTCAGAGCCCTTTTGTCAGAGAATTTTTTTTTCTTTTTGCAACGTCAAAGAGCGAATCTTTTTTTTTTTCAACGAATAGATTTTTTATCGTATCACGATTGTCGAAGAACTTGAAGTTATAGTTCGCACACACTAAGGATCTTAAAGTCCTTTTTTACACGGCCGTTATAAATTTTTACCTATAGAATTTTTTCTAGCTTTTCTAATTTCCAAGCTACTCCTTCAATTAGTGGATGACATTTTATTAGTGAATGATAGGATTACTGAGTTAACGTAAGATGGTATACCATGATATATGTATGCTGTATATATTACATATCTAATACACGCGTGTTACGTCTTTATACTTTTCTGTGAATACTTTCCGTTCATACTTTATACTCTCGGCGCCACTGCTGACTGTCCTACGTTTGTTTCGTTTTGACGACGGAAGGAAGTAGTCAAGATTAACTCTACTTCGATCACAGACGACCAAACGACCTCGCGCAACGTTCTCGTCGGGCGACTCTCATGTAACGGCGATTTATACAGCGAGACTCCATTTCTTTTTCCTCTCACGGACCATACGCACACTTTTCCGGCTGTTAAATCGTTCGGAAGGGGCTCTCGATGTCTCGAAAGCTCTCGTTCCCGGATATTTATCGCAGATGACGTGCACTTTCACTCGCGCCGTACCGATTAAAAGAACATATTTTCGCAATTACTTAACCATCAGTAGAAATTTTTATCGTCGCGTTATTGCTGGTGTAAGATAGGAGTATATTATTCTTCGGATAACTTTTCTACATTAATCTCGATTTCTGCTTTCAACAACCTATATATATATTGTTTGATCGTCTAAATAAATAGGGGATCCATAAATCTTGTCATGGATAAGAAACAACAGTGCCGAAACAATTGCATCAATTGTACGAAATCGACATTTCTCGCTGTATTTATTTCTCACATTTATGTGGACAACGTCGCTTCACTAACGTGTCGATACTTTCAGTGTGTTGTTTGCGCACCAGACGCCTAGTGCGGTCGCCATGTTATCTCGTAAAATCGCAATATATATGGCCGCCTTCGAGGTCTCGCAGGTTTATACATCTACGTTTACATTTACGAAGGGTCGTTCGAAGAAGAGTGCCGCGTGATTTGAATTTTGGATACGTCGGGCAAACTGGTACATCGCGTTAACTTGTAAGGGCGAGCTGCATGTTACATAGTGCGCCATGTATCCCGACATGTAAACGCCGCTGGGCGATGCATATTTCAGAGGCTCGACGGAATAAGCCTCTCTCGAACGGCTCCTTTGGTCCTGCAGCGGCGGTGGGTTACGTGAAATATTACGTACGCGCTTTTCCCAGGTCCACGGATGAGCATTGTACGCGAATTGACCGATGGTATCGGAATTTTGGCGCATCCGCGAACATTCTCCATTTTAATGAAATGTTCACGTTAACGGAAGCGTTATAAATCTGGCAAGTTATTAAGCCTGATGGATCGAGGGATTCATAATTCGAAATGGTCTGTCAATCGGGAAATGGTCAACCGATAACATCGAGGCCCTCAATTATTCAGAGTTAGCACTCGAATAACCAGCAGCAATTGCATCTCCACCGCTGGTTCACTTACGATAAGCGACGAATGAACTGCATAAAATGACACCTGCGCATTCCATTGAATATTCATAGCGCACCGACAGATCCAATCTCCAGCTTTCGATAGTACAGTACGCCGGGTAAAAGAGAGTCGCTATCTCCCCTCGAAGTTTTTGACGTTTCGGAAATAATGGGAATTCTCTCTGTGGGGTGCTTTGCGCGATTTTTGTAAGATCGCGCGCAAGTGGCGAGCGGCATCCATACGACGCCACCATCAACCTATCGAGGATCTAAACACTCTTCGATAATTATTTCGATCCATTTTTCATGATCTTACTAATCCTTTTATATCTCATAATCTTTATAAGCAGCAGTCGTTTGTTTTTCTCGTCTCGTGCGACTTTGTCTTTTTTAATATGCCGGGTACGAACCATATAATTCCCATCTTGGAACAATCGACGGGCTCGATAAAAACGCAGGGAACATTAAAGTGGGATATTAGAGAATCGTTTTGCCAAGATCTATCAACTCCAATTGCGAGAAAATTCGTTTCACGACGTATATCTATACTAACTCCCAGCACGTGATCGTACTCGCCATCCAAATCGTCAATTCTCGATACGTTCCCGATACTTTCTCACGTATTGCTAAGATTGCTTTCTTCCTTCCGTTATTTTTCACGCGGGATTAGTCGGAAGTGCATTGCTGTGAATTATAACGGATTCATTGCGAAATTCGCGCCGAGTTCTCGGCCGTCTGTTCCCATCTGTCATATTTAAGAGGAGTTCCGAAAGCTGTAGCAATTACCGGGCAATATCTCTGTGCAGGGATATCATATTTTTCCATTAACTTTTCCTCAAAAACCTTACAAACCATCTAAAATCCCGCAAAAATGTTTCGCGCAAGATATATAAACATAACATTAATTTCTTGCACTTATTTTTCGATTTAACTTTTTAATCAAATATAGCATACTATCACATATAAATATACATATATATTTTTCTCTATATATAACTTTTTTCTACATTTTATTCGAAGTCAAAAAGTGTTGCAATTGACAATTTCATTTTGGCAAATCATCTCGCATAACGTGGGTGCTTTGAGAAACGACTTTTTCGTTCGTTTTCACGCGAGAATTGAGTTTTCTTGTGGTGCTTCGGGAAAACGACAACCCAGAATCGATGTCGATGCCGATCCGCATTGCCGTCGATGTCGTCGCTCTCGTGTCCGAGACTGCTCTCGATGAACGTTATGATGTTAGAGACAAACCGGACATCGCGCACTCTTTACGTCGCGCATTATTTTCGGTAGCTCGTAAAACCGTGAAAATCTTTTCTCTCGGTGCTCTCTCGTTGTAGCCTTCGTGGAAATCGAAGTGCCGAATCAATGTCGTTCCATGAATAAATGTCGATAGATTGAGATTTTATCGAGAGACTGTTACATTCGACTTTATTGTGACGTCAATGAATTTCGATTAAATTACGCCGTAAATTAAATTATGAAGTAAGGAGAAATTTGCAACTTTCGAGCCTTCCCCTGAGATGTTCGCTCGAGATACGGATTATAGAATGTTACAGATACATTAACTTTAATTAATTCTTTGACTAACTTGCAATAGATTTTCCTTTAACTAAAATATCTGAGCATTAATACTATCTGAGTTGCAAGCAAATGACTCTAGAGTACTTTTTGTAGTCATAAGAATTTTCTGGGGGCAATTAAATAAAATCTTATCATTTAATTAAATTTTCAAATAGAGACTTATTCTTGCAGAATTTTAATATGCGGTTTAGTCATAAAAAGAAAGTTCTGCATATTTATTAAAGCAGCTATTATTAAAATTAAATTTCTAGGACAATATTTATGTATACTTGAATAACCATGTTCATTATTTCGCATGCATTTCGAATATAATATATAATAAAAAGCACGATCGTATAATCGAATGAAATAGATCATAACGAATATTGACGCGTTAGAAATTTACAGTGCAACACTATGTAATTTTTCGGATAAATAGGAAAAGTGATCCAATCTCGACGGAAGGAACAGGACGCGTGTTTCGTAAAAGTAAAAACGTAAGTGCATACATGCTCGTTGCATGTTTTCATATGTCTCTTCACAAATTTATAGATATATGAAACGGGAGGTGGACAAATTATAATACCGCCAGAATTTACATTTATCTATCCACAAGGTAAATTTCGCTATTTTCGGCACGCATTGTTCCGTTTTCCTCGAAAGCGCGCCTTCTTTTTTTTACATCGCGAATTTTAGCACCTTCGACGTCCTGTTCTCGACATCTCTTGATTTAATCACGCTAAATAAATGCCACGCGAGTGCTCAGTGGATTTTCGGTGCGTGCAATTTGTGCTTGACGTTGTCAACCATGGCACAAGCTGCAGTAAAGTCTGGCATTGCAACACGGCTATATGCAAAGTATCTCATTATCACGTGTCATACTTCATGGACTAGTTCCCGGATATTACAACAATGAAATACGTTTATGTCCCCATACACATGCATTATGCGAGCATTGCTTAGTTTTTAATGACTCTAAGAATTAATCCGCTATCTCTTTTTCTAATTTTAACGATAATTAAAATTGATTTATTTGCAAAAACTCCAACATGAGCCAAGCATAAAGTTTACTTATATAATTAAATACTATTGCACAGAGAAAAACCAACTATATCATTCATCAAGTTGAAATTAAACCTCAGAGTTTTACGAGCACTCGTTGCGCTGTAATCGTAAAAATTGAACAATCTAAAAATTATATGTTGCGACGTTCTACAGTGGTGAAAGTCCCGCTTTTTCGTGGTTAATAATAGCTCGTAAAGTTTCCGAATGAAAGCGAGGAAAAAATTCTGACCTCGTAAACGCTGATGACTCTATCTAGGCGCAATTTGATAGCGTTTGCCGTCTTATTAAGAATTCTAGCGACGTACTATCGCGCTTTTTCGTAAACTTCCCCCTTGCTGCTTTGCGGATAGATGAGGAGTCGTGAGCGAGAAAGAAGTCGGGGATAACTTTTGCTTACGCAATCGCTATCGTTATCCGCCGAATTACACTCACGTGTGCACCGACGCAAGTGTGTGATTATAAATGAGGATAAATGAATAAGTTCTGTGACACCAATTGACATTTTCAAATTTTGATATATGTTTCTGTCGCAGCAACGCCAATTTCGACTTTTTAAAAAAGTGCCTTATCAACGGAA